TGATAGGTGTTGAAAAATTTGGACAATCTCAAAAGATAACGATTAATCATAATTACTTTTAGTGTAATAACTATTAATTAGTGCTAATTACGTTTCTAATAACTAACATACATTAACAGTATTTAATGTTTGTTTCTCTATTCTACATAATTGTTTATATTCAACAATTAATCACGTGATTGATTCTTGTTTATGAAACGGACATTAAGTAAGTTTTGAAAGTTCAAATTGAATCATTTGTTTATGCAGACCTTGTACATCGTCGTCATGACAACCGAAGACGCTCGTCCTCGTCCATGTCGGACAAGATGTTTGCTGACGAATCGTTTTTACGGATTAGCAGTATTAAGGCTCTGTTTGTTGTCGCACCAACAAGAGCCATTCTTGTTCAACAGAGATGCAGACACAAACACACCTAAGCATACTTGATCAGCAATTTGCGTGTGCACCAGGAAAACGTTCTACAAGCTCAAGCAAAACAAAAAACAAACTACCTACTGCTCGCACACACATACACAAAATGTCCGTGCAAACTCAATTAGGCTAATTTTCCTACTCATTAAACACTTATCTAAATCGGATTAGCTTAATAATTTTAAATTAATCATCAACGCTAATTGATGACATCGATTTAATTAGTTTTAATATGTAGATTTTTTTACTACAAAATGTAAAATAACCATTACATTTGCATACAGATATAATACAAGTTATTTAAAGTCAAAAGGCCAACTTTGTCTACATCATATTACGCAATTAATTCATCAAAATCTCCATTATTTAACAATTAGAAATCGATCAATTCAATTACTAAACAATAGGTATCTTTCAACTACTGATTTCCAATACAATTAAGTCATTATTAAGTAATTAAACACGAACTGTATGTAATTATTAATTCACTTGTTTCATTGATTAAATCGACGGGTTTTATTACATCCAATTACATTCATTAACTGCACAATTTTATTTACTTTGCAATTAAGATGTTCACTCGGCAATGGAAACTTAAATTATGTTTATATAATAATTGAGATTCGAAATTTCATAATTATTTTAGGTTTTTCCTGCAACGAAACACTTTGTAAATTCTGAAATTTTTCAACCCGCTGAGCATAGTTTGGGAAACTCTGATCTAAACAATATGTGTATATAATGAAAATGTACGGGTGAGGTGTACGATCGTTGTCGCTTGTGAAATATTCGTTGGAAAGCTAACGTTTCAGATTCAAGTTGCAATTAGTGAAGGATATATTCGTCAGATGTGTATCAAAATGGAAAATTAAAAGAGAAAGTCCTTGATTTATTGCTTATAAACTGGACACACGCACCACGAACCAAAAAAAAATGAACTAAAAAAAGAATAGGAGAAGAGAGCTCCGTGTCCGAAACGTGATTGTTTTCCCATGTTCCGTAGATTAGGATCGGTGTAGACCAGAAAACCATAAAACATAAAGTTGTTGGATTCTCTGGACGGTTTTCTTTAAAAAAATATTTATATGATTATGTGTTTGTATGCATTTTTTTTATTGTGTGTGTGTGTGTTATCTCGGACGACACTTCCTCCTCCTAGTTTTCGTTTTTATCTGCCGGTCGTAAAGTTAAGTAAGTTACGAGACCGTCGCTTAAGATTTATGTGGTGGATGGGATTGGGGTGGATGGAAGGAAGAAACGTACCTTTCATGCGCTTCTGTACCCTCAAGTTCTCGATGATCGAAGTGAGCCCTTTGCGACGTTTCTCTCCAGCCTCCGCTTTGATGCTGAACTCGTCCATTTTATCCAAAATCCTGATCATCTCTGCCGTACAAAAAAAACCGGAACAACTTCTTCATTCAACACATCCGTCCTTCTTTGGATCACACTCCCACGATTTCCTTGTTTCGTTTCGTTTTTCTTTTTGTTGTAGTTGTTGTAATCAGCGCGTTCCTGGGGGCCAGCAGGTCTTTTCGGATACGCGCGACGTGCGGCCGCCGAGTCTCACTGCTCCGTGTTGCTCCGATTATAGGATAGGGTTAAGACATAGGTTAAAGTTAATGTAATGACCTGGCCCGACCCCGCGGTCTAAAAATGTTCGGTTGAAAATAAACGGACGAACTGAAACGTATAGATCTTGAGCCAAAAATATTTATATGTTTATGTGCACTGTCTCTACATAATATACACACACACTCTCTCCTCTACATACTCACACTACATACAACATTTTTTTTTTAATATCCCTCTTACAAAAAGTCAACGTCGTCCTAATTATTTCATTACATCCGATCAAAAACGGAATTAAAGCAAAGTTCACTTATTCAGTTCAAATCAAAATAAATTTATAGATTAATTAATGCAATTAGCGTACACACTTTACGCTTATACAAACGATTACTTAATGAATCATAATTCCTCCACTAATCGCTACAATTTACAACAAAACTTTCATTAATTAATCACATTGATAAACTGAAAATTAGTTATATAGTTTAGTATTCTATAAAAATAAAATCAAACTATTTTTAATTATTATATCATATGTTTCATTAATTAATCACATTGATAAACTTAAAATTAGTTATATAGTTTAGTAAATCGATCAACTTTTTTACTAATATTTTACAAACTGCAATATTCTACAATTATATTCTAATAAACTGCACAATTTTCTACAATTTTACAATGTAACAATTATAAATTTAATCTAAATTGTTTCATTTTGTTACTTTTCTATAAAATAAAATCAAACTATTTTTAATTATTTCAAAATTGTTATGTTTTTTTAACTATGTTTTTAAACGATTCCTAATGTCTTGTTACGAATGATTTTTTTTTTACTAATTTTCTGTATAATCTGCAATCTGAAGCAACAAAACATTTGTACTTGTTGCATCTATTGGAAATTCAGAAGAGACGTAACTTTTGTCCAAGCATCTCTCCTCACTTGATTATTCAATTTTAGAAACCTCCTCTACCTCAAAGATTGTGATTAAAGGCTGCGAGATAATGAAGCCATAAATTCCGCATTAGACGTTGAACAAAATTAACACTTAGCGTGTGCATATTTATAAATCACCGTTGCGGACAGGTGCAGAAATCGTCGGCATTATTATTTCTCCGCTTCGATGTTGTTGTTTTTTTAAATTTGTTGTTACTGTTGCTGTTATTGTTGTTGTTGTTATTATGATTACGGCGAGTCGAAACGATATCGATTTGTAACGTCGATACTGGGCATGATTAATGATGTGCAGTTTACATTTCGGACGCGATAAATCCGTTCCTCATTCTCTTCGCTTACGTCTTTTACTTTTGCACTGTCCACCTCATTACATCACACACCGCAAATCTTGTTGTTGCTTTTTTTTATTGGTTTTAGTTGGAAATAATAGTTAACTAATATTAGTTGATTTTCGTTTTGAATCGAGAGCGCGTGTACGCGGTTACGAAAGGTTAAACTGAGCCCCCCGTTTCCATGACACCCAGGTACGAGCCGAGCGGTTTCTTATCACAGGTCACCTTATCAGTCGTACACACATGCAAGTATGCATACACATACTTGTATGTGTGTCCCCGATTGTGTCAGAACACAAAGGTTATATTTATAAGCTCGTATATTTGTTGTGTGGAAATATATCTTACCGAGTTATTTTTTCAAAAAAAAAAAAAACTGCACGCTCGAACTCGAACTGTTTGCCTTCCGAATACCATGACTTTTTCCATGACTTCCTCTCCGATTCTTGGAAGCTTATCTTGGACTTCGATAACACTCCCATTCCTTACCCCCGGCAACATGATGTAATAGTGTTTCCGTTCCGAACGGTCGCAAGAAGTCCCGTAAATGTTCCTCATCGCACTGCGAAAATAATTAATTATCGGTTATTGAATTCTCTATCTCTTTCTCTTTCAATTGAAGTAACCGAAGAGGATTGCTTCTTTCCATCTGCAATCTGTTCTGGTAGTTTAGTGGCGGCGGCTGTAGAGGTCCGTTATTGCCGCACTTTTTGCTGACCCTGGACGAGGTGGTTGTGTACGAACAGTAGCAAAAATATGCTGTTAGATCGCAGCATCCACTGGAGCGTTTCCCATTTCGAATATCATTTGTATTTAATTGTTGCGCTCGGTTTCGGACTGGCCGCCTTCGGTATATATATTATAATACATTCACAATTGCCTAGCTGTGTTTTCTGGACACGCAACGTCGCCCATGGAATGCGTACACTTGTTTTAGGACACAGCAATTGTTTAATTCGCCGTCTCTTGTTTTTTTTTTTTTTCGATACCCAATATTACCATGTTAATCCAATTCACTTGACCGAAAACTATAAGAATTATCAAATGAAAACATCAATAAATTACACATTTATCCAAATTGTAATTCATATGTAATGTGTGGAAGGTATTAAGAGCTGTTATTTTATGAGTTCATGTAAAGTAATAATTAAATTGACATGTGTTTATTGGAATTGTATTTTCTGTGTAAGGAAATTAGTTGGTAAGAAGATATTGTCAGGGTAAAGTTATTAAAATATTCGGCATTGTTTGCCAAGAAAGACAGGGCATTGTTATTTAAATTCAGTAGGTGAGTAATCATTGTTATGTATGTATGTATCGACTTCCAAAATATTAATTTGTGAAACATAGCGGCGCGATACGATAAGAATCGGAATATTCACGTATGCGATGATGAATACTTGAGGAATTTAAAAGTGATGCGTGTAAACAGATCGAAGTTGATTGCGGAAAGAAAATGGAAATAGTAATGGAAGCTTTTAATTAGCAGATAAATTTGTTGCGCGTCAATACGATGTAAAAATAGATCGAAGGCGTCGATGTATGATGTTGATGATGGTGCGTCGGGGACATTTTGAATGGACTATTGATAAAGCGAAACTAATCTACGGATATTAAAATGTGAAGAGCTCATCGATATCGTTCGTGTTTGCGTTATTTGATTGATAATGGAGATAAATTGTGGGTAAATAATAGGGGAGAGTCGTAATACGCGGAGAGGAAAAAACGCGTGCGCCAAATTGAGCAGACGGTCAGAGGAAGGTGAAGGGCTGCTCGAGTTCGGCGGCGGGGAGGAATAACGGACAGGGCATCTGCTCGGAGCCTGCTGGATATCGATTCCTAGAGGTGGCCGCGCGATCCTCCCGTCCGCTGTAGATGTGTGTGTACGAATCGTTCGTTGTGTACGCGTTTTGTCCCTTAAGAGCCGCGAAATAAAAGGGAAATTGAGAGGCCGACGTATAATAATAGTAAAATGTGACTGCTCCAACATCTGTTAGTGTGTGTTCCTACAACAATAATCGTGCACAGCTCGGACTTAACAATGGAGAACGGATACCAACGCAGAACCATAATATTCTATATATCTGTTGGGCTCTCATTGTTCTATTTATCCGCATACCTTCTAAACACATCCATACAGAAACCAGAAATAAGGCGGAACAATGCCCTGGGACTGAAGGAAAGTGTTAATAAACAACGACAAGCGGCAGTCGCTGAAGAGGAGCTGAAGATCAGGATGGCAGAGGTGGAGGATCAGAGGCAGCAGCTGCAGAGGGAGCAAAAGAAGTTTTTGAAAATGAAGAGGCTGCAGCAGCAGCAGCAGCAGCCGACGAGCCACATCTCGTTAAGACGGATCTACGTCCTGCCGACAATCCTGCAACATCTGTACGAGAAGCATAGCCTCTGCACACCCGAGGACGTGCACAACGAGGCGAAGCACAGGCTTCCATCGAAGATCGCCTCGAAGACGAGCAAGATGAACGAGCCCCGCGCCGTTATGGTCATTTACATAGCAATTGGATTGTTGCTGACGTCCCTGGGCGCCGCTCTGCTGGACTTCTTCCGCGCCAAGAGCGATCAGAACTCGGCGGACGGCGCGAAAAAGAAGCACATGCTGACCAGGAAGTGCTCGCTGGCCGACCTCACCGTCCTCAGGCATTCCCGGAAAGAGTCCATGAGGAAAGACTCCATCTACGACGGGAACCCCACCAATCAAGTTATCGGTAGGAAGGTGTCCAGGCCACCTTTGCGTTTAGATTAAAGGTAGCGCAAATAAGGTGGTATACGTGTTCTGCTCCCCCTTCTTGTGCAACTCTTCTACAATGTCATCTTCGTCGCTTCCCGCCTCTGCCCGTGTTACCATAAAAAAAAAGCTTCTTTCCTCAAGAAACCAATTCTCTTGTTGCAGGTCGTAGGCAACCAACCCTTCATCGTCGTTGCACTTTCCCCACATTACCCATTATTGATCTCAGCTCGCAATCATCCCAATGCCAATTGTGCGGGGACTCCGACACCAGCGTCAGAGAAACGAGGCATCCGCGGTACAGATTGTTCCTGCGTAGGCATTGATGTTGTTCGCATCTCAAATCTTTAACATATCCCAAAATTTATTTTTTATTTATTTATATACATATATAGAGATTGTCACCGACAAATATATATCTAATATAATCATTGTAACTAACCCATGTGCTTTATTCCATTAACCCAACACCTAAGCTCAACAATCCTACAGTAGACGCGTCTTTAATTTTTACATCCATTGTAGAACTTCTAAAAACAATTTACAAATTATTCACATAGAAAAATACAATGCTTTTACTATTAATAATACCATATTTACAAGAAACTTACCTTTATTGAAGCACAACGACTCAAATTCTTCACCTTCTATGATGACAACCTGTAACTTTGTTGCAATTTTGTTATTAAACACCCAGGCAACTCTACTCACACACTCTTGATTGGTTAAATGAACAAAGCTTAAATAGAACTGTACAAAACATCTAAGTAATCAATAAATATTTAAATCCTAGACAATAATATTTCTAATTAGGATAAGACATTAGGGTATCAGCAATGAATGAAAACCATAAAAAAAGTTCTTATAAAATCTTATTTTCATTAAATCTTCTCTTGTTTGTTCCATCTTTCGAAAAAAATAGCAAAATACAATTTTCAACAATCACTTCGTTTCTCTCTCTTAATATACTTCACATTTCTTTTGCTTCATTTCTTTACATATATATTTTCTTATGTACAAACGAGACGCTGAAATGTCTTTGGAATGACGACATGTGGGTATAACGAGACAAATGTCCGGAGAAAAAAATGTAACTTCAACCAAAAAAAATACAAAGAAATGATACGTTCGTAAGCTGTTGTCTCGTCCGGCAACAAGAGTTTCCAAAAAAAAAAAAATCGTTTACGAACAGACAAAAAGCGAAACAGAAAATATCACAGAAAAATACATTCACATATCGATTTCTCACTTTTCCTATTTCCCTTCGTTCTTCATATTCCGTTCTAAAAATTCTGAAAAATTTGTTGAAAAAAAAAAACATAATGAAACAATGAAAACTATTTCGTTTGAGATCTGCCTTGAGCATGAAAAAAGGTATTTGCATATTCCCATCTGAATAGAATAAATAAAACAATACATGTTCACTAATAATAATTAAATGCAATGACAAAACGTGGAGTGCTTATGAGTCGGCTCTTATTTCGTGTTGGTTTTTATGATTATTGATGGGACTCGTCTTCGGGCACCTTCCAGTTTAGGATTTTACCGGTCTCATAGAGCTCAGAAAGAGCGTCGCCGATCTTGTTCTCCTGCTCCAACTCTTTGTACCTTCGGTATAGCTGCAACGCGGCACGAGCGTCCTCTGTCGAATCGTGCGTCTCCGATTGGATCTTCAAACCTAGGAAATGCCAGGCTAAGAACCTTAAGGAGACCATTCGATGATGCGGCAGATGGAACAAGAAAACAGTGTCCACGACCTGCTCCGGTGGTACAACCAAATTGATCACTCTGTAAATGAATGGTAATGATTAAATAATGAAGCTATTGGAAAAATGATATGACAATCTTCACCTGAAATCATTTTTAAGACCGTGTCCAACGAAAGTCACGCCACTGTCCTGTAAAAACCGGAGCTTAATGTACGTGGATTTCAGAGTGGTCAAGTGTTTCGAGCTGAAGTTTGCATCCAGATCGCCTGGTTTAATCCCCGAGAACTTGGTCAGATAATCGACGACCTGTTCTTGCGTGGAGATGTAGTCGTCGATGAACGGAATGCCTTCGAGTGGACCTTGACCGCGAATGCAGGTAATTCTAGCCACCGACATTTGAGACGGCTTTATCGTCGACATCTTTCCGTCGCTCCTGAGCTCCGCTTCCTCCTGGTTTAAGGTGACGAATTCCGCGTCCATCGCCACCAGATCACCGGGCATCGGCATCTCGTGTTCCGCCAACGGTGTGAAAGTAATTCCAGCGGAACCACCGCCTCTCGCAATGCTGTTTACTTGCGTGAAAATGTCCTTGTTCAGCGATTGGAATATGTTCGTCGAGGCGTTTGTCACCTCATCAGTGGAGTAGTACAGAACGCACGGTGTCTTCCAATCCAAACTGAACCAGGTGGCCTCGTGAGCGGGCACGCAACTTATACTGAAATCGTTGAAAAGGTACCATGCCGGTTCGTTGTTGCCATCCTGCATGTAACTCCCCGGAACTTTGATCAGAGCAACCAAATTCTTTCTCTCCTGCGTCGACGGCTCCGTTATGTAGCAAACAACGCCGGTTAGATTGTACTCCATGCTCTCTCCATCGTCTTCGTTCGGTTCATCAGAGTCCAATTCTAATTTACGTATACTTAAATGATCGTTTTTCAGAATCATACGCAACCTGTGCGGCAGCCAATTGTTACTGCAGTACGGATTGCTACTTGTTGATTGCTGAGGAGCGACATCGAAGCTATGCCTAAATCTGCAACCGGGTCTCGAACAATTATCCCCGTACCTACAAGGTTTCGATGAACTTATAGAAGATGTTGGCGTCGATGATCTCGTAGGAGTAGTATCCAAACCAGTTGTTGCTGCCTAAATAAAAATAATAACGTAATAATCACAGAACGAGATAAGCAAAACGCAATTTACCTTAGCGACAATCTTATCCATTTGGCTTTGCCAAAACAATTTGTGCTGCGGATTGTGCAGTCCTGTATTAATTGCCAACAGTTTCGGTAGAGACTAAACAAAAATGAAAACATACAGTAGTTACAATGATCAAATGGTTTTTACAAGATTGAAATTGAATTTAACATCACTTACTTGAAGTACCCTAGCTTGAGACGTCGGCGTGAATTTAGAGCACTCGTCACACCATGCCGGCGTAACCTGTTCTGGAGTTAAGGACCTTTTAAGGATATCACAAAATGACCACTCGTCTCTTTCAGGTTCGTTAGTGGGATACACCAGATTACAGGCCAACAAAATAGATTCTTTCCTCACCTGTTGAACAAAATAAAAACGCAAGATAAACCAACCAGTAACAAATAGAAGAAGAAAATAGATGCATACTTCATGGTTGCACTTCAAACAGCTATTTATATGCAGCTGCTTCGTTCCTAGCAATTGGCTAATCTCGGTAATCTCCTCGCGCTTCTCGTCTTCCAATTTCGAAAGGTTCACATCTACAATACACATTATACCAAGATCAATTAGAAAATCACGCAAAAGTGATTTCAATTACCTGAAGAACTGAAATTCTTTTTTCTATCACTACCTCCTAATATTGCTGGAAAATCAGTCTCTTTGTACACAAACGGTTTTCTATTAATCTTCCCTTCCTCGCGTTTCTTTTTGATCTCCAAAATTTCCACGTGCATTTGATGTAGTATAAACCTGTTCCAGCTCTACAAGTCGATTATGCGTTTAGTTTAAAATAATGATGATTATGCATGCGAATATGAAACCTGAATTAGAGCGCCCAAGTCGACCTTCATCTTGGCTTCTGGATGTAAATCGCTGAGGATGAGGCCGAGCGCGGAAGCTTCTGGAACGGTGCGGAAGGCACGCAGGAAGTTGCCAGGCTGACAAGGCGTATTCTGGCACGTCGATAGCATGTGAAAGAGGAAGCCGAGCTCGCAGGACAAACAGAACTCCTTTTCGCACAGATGCGACAACAGCGTCGCCCTCAGAGGCTCTGTGTAATACAAAACCTAAAATTATATTCGCGTAACATTCGTTTTGTCGCAACGGTTATTAACGGTCGGCGTACTTGTATCATCGCATTGCAGTATGCGTTCGGGAGCATCGCCTCCAAGCCTGGAAAACCCGACTTGTTGTACTGATCGAACTGAAAGTCTTCGACTCCCAGCTTGTTGTACTTCACTTCGACCTTGCGGTATCTCTTAGGAATGGCAACAAATCCGGCGCTCTCCTCGACGGGTTGCTTGAAGTTCCTGCTCTCCGAATACTGCTTGGACTGCGACCGAACGCCGTTACTCTCCAGATTGTACATCACCTACAAAACAAGGAAATTTAACCATCCGCAATTGCATGCACAAGATCCTGTTCCTATCGATGGGAAGGTGTGTGCGATATCATCAAGTCAACTAGCAAATTAACAACGCAAATAAACTGACATTTATTCTATAACTTGAAGGTGGATAATAAATTAAATTAAAGCGATTCACAATAAAAATATATCAACAGAAAATATCACTCGGAATTTAACGTAAATCGAACAGCAACGTTAACCATACTTGTCAGATTTGACAATTAAATCCATATCAAACATAATAATAATAATCATAATAACACTATAATAATAGATGTGCGAACACAAATTAATAATCATTCTTTTCTTTCGGCAATCCAGTGATGACACGACATATCAGTCTTAATAAAAGTAAACGGAAGGTAAATTATTGTTTAGTCTCACTTGATTGCGCCTCGAGGCCTTCGGGTTTGGTGCGTAGCCGATGGGACCCTGCATCTTCATTGTTCTGAGAATCTCTGGATCTATTGCCGGCGCCCTCCTAAGCAAACGAATCAGTGGACTGTAACGCAAACCACACAGTTAATATTTACCTGTAGGTGTTCGCCATCAAATGAGCGGGCCAATCCGAAGCCAGAACTTCTGTAGATATTAACGGCATCGGGATGACGGACAATGGAGTATCGTAATCGTCGATCCCGAAATTCGGGTACGACGCTACAGTATCTGCATGTTCAGTCATCCTCGAGTAGCTGTTGAATATTACATCTTCGCGCGAGGAGAACAGGTGCATTGAACCGGCGTTATCGCCGAAGCACATAGCCTGATTCGACGAGCTTATATCGAACGCCAAACACATCGTTCCTGATTCAATTACAATTAATAACATGATTAACAATCACGTTGATTAGTAGTATTCAATACCTGGATTTTCCATTTGCAATAACGAGAGTTTAGGATTGGATAAAGCTACAGTATCCACCAGTTGTGCCTGGCCCAAAGCTGTTACAACAGCCAACCTTGAAGACACTGATGGTAAAAATCTCAAATACAAAGGATCAACAACTGTCTGTATTGGACTCACAGCCCTCATCATTCTCAAATCGTAAACCATCAAAAATCTGTCCACAGACAAATTACCACCTTGCCTATAACAACAATAAGAGCATTATTAAACCTAATGTCCAAGAGGATTAAATTCTATAACTGACCTACTACTAAATCCACAAGTAACCAACAAATTGCCTTGAATATCAAAATCACTCAAACTACCACTGTGCGTTTCCAGAGTATGTTCGACCTTCAAACTGTTGGGGTCTCTTAAATCTATCCTTCCCAAAGGATTACCAGCACAAACAAATCTCGAGTGACCTCTTAACATAACGCAACCAGCATCTCCAACGTCAGCCTACAGTGTATATTAATAATCAAGTGTTTAAAGCAGTTTATCAACAAAATTACCCGTTTAGTTTCTTTGCACACAGCCATATTGAAATCAATTAATTTATCTTTATGGCCCCCGAGGAGCAGTCGATGCGGCGATAATTGCAGCATGCATTGCATCTCTGTCATATGAGCAGATGTGTGCGTGAACACTGGAATGCCCCTTCGAATCTGACACCTCAGTGAAGTAGCAGTTAATGCTAAGATTCCCTCATCCATTGTTAATATCTGCCTAATATCTTGATTCTGATGCACTTGAAATGAAGTGTACTTTTGCATATGCCCCGTATAGTAAGAAGTAACATGTCCCTGTAACATATCAATGTATCATAAGAAATTCTTATAAGACAGATTTGATTAGACTCACTCCTTGATTGCCCATCCATAATAGCTCTTCGCTCTGATCAAAGGCCAATGCACATACCCCATACCTGTCGCCTCCATCTGCCATAACGCACTGGGTCTGCACATATTCACTCTCCAGACCAGACATTTCAGACACATCAGGCCCCATTATCTACGCAAAAAAATAAACAAATGTCGCGTTATTTTAACAATCCATTACACATGTTGCTCTTGGTTACCAAGAAAATGCTATGGCAATTGTGTATTTTAGTATGAAAATTGTTAACTATTTATTTATTATTTTACTCTTAAAGAAAAACTTCTTTTTCAACACCAATTGGAAGAAGCCTTTGTTTCTCTCTTCTCTTTTGTTAAATAGTACTTACACCAGTTTGGTCGAAATACATGCTTGCAATAAAAATTTGTACTTTGTTTCCTTTGTTTAATGCGAAATCATAATAAAAACATATTTGAACTAAATTATTATGAAATTATTTTATACAGGTTAGGAAATTATATGAAGTGAAAGTGGTTCTGGGTCAACCATCATCCTTCGATTGCCAACCACATGGAACGAAAGTTACCATTGTTAACCATCCACATTAAAATCATCTTTCTTTCAACATCTTTCAACTTGTTTCTTTTCGTTGTTTTTCATACAGATACATTTACTATGTTAACACTTACAGTAACTGTTTCCAATTGGAACTGCAAGTATCGTATAAACTTGGGTGTAAACCGCAAGTTGATGATCTCTTGTTAAACACACTTATCTGCATTTATTTATTAATGTTTGTAATTAATGAGACATTACACGAAACGTTCCACAAACCGATACCATAACAGCTAATAACAAATTGTACAGGTTGAAGTCATCAATTAAGATGATAGAGTTTTTGCATTGCTTCAGTGTATATTTGGTTGCCTGCATGATCTAAAATATCTATAATTTAAAAATAACTTTTACTGTTTAAATGAATCAATAAATCTTTACATAAAACACACAAAGACTGCTCTATAAAATTATTAACGTATGCATTTAACTAGAATTTAATGAAAAAACTTTTATAAAGTTAATATAGCAAAACTAGCATGATTTAATAACAAGAACTTCGGAAGTTCCTTTAGAAATATGATGTATACTAATTAAGTCCTTTTATTGCACATGTATCTACTTCACTATACGAAACTCACTTAAAAGCTGCACAAGCTAACTTTAGAATATTATACGTTCGTGGTTGAAGCATTTAAGTTAATCATTAATCCCACATGTTTCAATGCAATTATTGTTAGGTATAGGATATAAAGTCTGTGGAAAGGTATAGGAATGAGTCGATAAGTTAAAGATTAAAGTAGTAGGCGGAAAATAGAAAACAAAACAAAAAGAAAACACAAGCTTGCGTTAATTATGTTTAATATGCAAATTGCGCATGTTTCACAAAATGAAAAACACGAAAGACTATATTAATCATAATAAATTACAAATAGAAACGAAAATAAAACACGATAATTATATATAAAATAAAAAGAATACCTAACATTTAATGGACATTAACTAATAACATCCTAATTAATACAACAACAATAATAATAATAATAATTAAAAAAAAAATACAATTATATTGTAATTATTACACCATAAATATTATGATAATGATGATAAAACTGCTAAAATCTACTGGCAGTATATGATAATAGTTGAAATCGTGAGATTACCGCGCGATCCGCACACTTGTTTGTATTTTGGAACTCGTTCCGCCATACGCAGATCACACGAACAAACGTACATTCCATTAGTATTTTTCATTATTTTTTTTTTCAAAAAAAAAAAATTTTGTTTGTTTTAGTTTGCATTTTGCCTCGTGAAAATCGCGAAAATTAACACACACACACATACACACACACAATACCAGAAGAGGAGTGTAATGTAGATATTGTATCCAAATTAAAATGTAAACCAGGTAAATCGAAATAAAACCGCCGCTTTTCCATTTCCACGACTCGCATTCAAAAACATATATCACAAAAAATCACATCATTAAGAACTAAACTTAGTAAATAGTAGTTTCTGTTTAAGTAACAAAGAATTTGCTCACTTACAATATTCATATTTTATATATCTTTATTATATGTGTATATATTTTACCCAGTGTCGGAAATCAAGTTGAAAAAAAAAAACATTTAATGAAACTGAAATAAGATCTATCAGAAAACACGCGTATTTCTCACCTCCGTTAATGTAAATATAGAATATATATATAGATTAAATTTTTGCTTTCTTTCTTTGTTTTTTTGGAGAAACAGAACAGAAGATTGACACCATTAATTTTTGTTACTCGTGTGCGAGAGTGTAATTCTATTTTAATTATTTTTTTTTGTTTTTTACCACAGATTCATACCACAGTTAGTTATAGTTTATGTAACACAGACTTATTTTTATTTCTTATCCACACCGTTTTCTTTCTATTTTTTTTTGTTTGTTTGTTTGTTTTTTTTTTTGTTGATGCAGCACTCCAATTTAGTAGAGAAGAAAACGAAACGAAGGGCACGAAAGAATAAATGAAACGTTCAATCCTTTTCTTTTTCCAACAGTTTGTTTTTTTTTTTCAAAAAATATGTTTGCTTTGTTTTCAAGTTTTGTTTGTTTCGTTTTGTAATTCTTGTACATCCCAATCAAAGCTCAAGTGCTCAAGCTGCACGTTCTTAGTGTAATTTTTTTATCCATCGATTAGACACTGATATGAGTTTAAAACAAATCGAAAATATATGTATAGATGTATGTATAAAGCACCATTTTTACGAGACTCGGGTCATGTTAAACATCTAATTCGCGCCACAGAAACACACGTTTGATTTTGTTGTTGGTGAAAATTCTTTGCTCCCGAAACGATTTTGCGAGTAGAGATATTGAAATATAACACACACACAGGCAACAAAACAGTGTTTTTTTTTAGATTCGAACGAAACAAAGAATCCTGATTTTTCTTTTTAGAGGGGAAGAACACAAATAGAAAATTAACATCCATGTCCAATTTGTTGTTGTTGTTTGTTATCGTTTTCTCTTTTGTTGTTGATTATTTTTTTGTGTTGCTGTTGTCCTCGGATGAGCTGAGAGCACTTCGGACGATTTCAACTAGGTCCAGTCCATGAAGTAGAAATTTATACTTAACATTAGAAGTTTGCCGGCCAGGCAGAAGTCGGACACGGCTTTAGACAATGTGAATGCCATTTCGGTGGTTGTGACCAGGTGCTGCAGAAATGTCAGTCCCATCCATTCTCTTTGATCATGTGAGCTAACTCTATGATGAACTTTCCCTCCTTGTATTTCTGGCTGGACTCGAACGCGTGTTCCTGCAAAAAAGAAAAAATGAAATAAAGAAAAGACATTTTATTTGTTGCCTCAGGAGTCAGGTGGAACTTTATGATATGTCCGCGCACAACCAGTCTAGACGACGTTTTCCGCGGGAGGACAATGCCATCGTCGACAATTTAATTGGACTGCGAAGCGAAATGAATACGCACATCTCTCTTTCTCCCTTCAGTCAGCAAACAAGGGTTGGATAATGAAGCCCACATTTATTAGTAAGATTCTCCAACATACTTAAAACATGAATAATATCTATATAAAAAAAAAGCTTGATTTGCAACATTGTTGGTGCTATTAATAAAAAATGTAGGCGAAGAGTTAAAGGCAATCAATATTATCAGTTCGAACTTTACAATGGAATTAAATTGACTAAGTAGCGCAATTAATTTAGAACGGACAATAATATCCAATATCCAACGACTGATTGTCCAATTAATATTAGGGATGAAATTTCCTGGAAATGTACGTGACGTGATCAGTTTGCTAAATATAAATGGTATTATACCAAATATTGAAGTAGTAATTTCACTATTTAAATATTAATATTTCGTGAAGCTGAAAAAATCATTGATAATATTTACACATTGACTAGACATTGACATTTAACATCTAAACTCTAGACAAGATGTTAATAGCTTCAGCAATTTATAATCAGAGTTGAGCAAATGATAAAGGGATGAAATTTCCTGGAAATGAACGTGACGTGATCAGTTTGCTAAATATAAACGGTAATATACCAAATATTTAAATATTATAGAAATGTTAATATTTCATGATGATGAAAAAATCATTGATGATATTTACACAATGACTAGACATTGACATTTAACATCTAAACTCTAGACAAGATGTTAATAGCTTCAGCAATTTATAATCAGAGTTGAGCAAATGATAAATGTAGTTAGGAGGATGCGGACAATACAAACACTTATGTAAACATGACAAGGTGTTGACAACATTGTTGAATAATAAACGCAGTTTGCCTACTACAGTCGAAGCAATGGAAATCCTTCTATTGGTTTTTCCGTCATCATTAAAATGCAGATTTCGTTAATTCCAACTGCACATTAATTATCGTTATCGGAGACAAAAGCTGCTTTAATGATGAGGGAGCGGTAGGGTTGAAGAGGGTTGTAGGGATTCCGGTCCGCCGGTGCCGGCAATTACATAATTGCTCGGACGAATCAATTCGGTTCTGCGAAACTTACGTATTTCCAGCCGAGGGTGGTTTTGCAGCACTCGCAGTAGATGTCGGCGACGGCGTGGAGTCCGGTCAACAGGACGCGCTCCTCGGCCGGTCCGCAGCCCACGTTAACCCTGAGGATCAGATCCGAAGAAGAAATAAAATAATGAAACAATGGGGGGAAAAGGAATAACGATTGCGAATCGATGGGACGTAGATAAATGCGGATCGATGGTCCGTGATACTCACACAGAATTGAAGAGATACGCTCGACCCTGGCTGCCTTGGAATGACTGGAAATTGAGATGGAAAAAAAAATATAGCAATAAAAGAGAAGATACAAAACGGGGAACGACAGAGTAAGCACAGAGGCGTTTGTTGTTGAGCGTCGTCTGCATGTTTAACAGTTTTCGGGATCGATTGATCCGGGCCAAAGTGGAGTGGCTTTTCGGGTAGCAACAGCCCCATCTGGATTAATTGCGAAACGTGACCGTTATCACCTATTAAACACCTATGTGTGTGTACAGCAACGCGGTTGATTCATCGCTGTTTACTTTGTCTAATATTAAAGCATTTCGCGTTCAGATACACACATCGTATAACTGTTATCCCGTCAAATTTCGCTCGAACGGGCAGAGCAACATAAATATTACAGCTTTTTGATAACGTTCCGAAGCGTCAATGGTTTACTTGAAGTTGATGGATATGGAAACAATTGATGGATGATGTTACCTTTGAGATAAGCTCGTCGTGGTTGGCTAGGTGTGCCCGGCAGTGGATGCACGAGTAGGTGCGATGGCATTGTGGAAGATAGGCCTGGAACGTCTTCACCATGGTGATGGCTGCGACGGCAGGCCATGCGTGCTCGTCACACCTGCAACAACGGATAAAACAAACAAACTCATCAATTAGACCACTCAGCAAAACGAACGCATCGCGCGGAAATATACATTAGCTACAACAAACATTCTACTGTATGTGTATCGGCTCTCACTTTTCATCCAATTAAAACTTTTAATTGAAACAAACAAACCTGAGTTTTTAATTTCCTATTGGATTTCGACAATCGATACAAAACATACATGACATTTATGTTTCAAAAACAAATTTACTCATAAATACTGGACATTGTTACATCAAAATCCCGACAAACCAATAGTATCAAATTCCCGACAATATCTTTTTGCAATAAGAAATATTCTGAATTAAAACTAATTGTATTGTTAAGGTTTATTATAAATAAGTCTATATCAAAACAAAGAGAAGATATTGTCGTGATTTTGATATTGTCAGGATTATAGTGGTCGGGATTTCAATAGGCGGGATTTACAAACGTTTCATCCTCGTCGCAACTCTGAAGACAAAAATATGCTCATTACATAACGAAACGAAAATATTTACGCTCCGACCGTCAAGTGTTACAACAATGACTCGTCTCAGAGTCGTTCAAGCTTTATTCAATTACCGACGATCTCGAGTGTCCTTACGAACGCTTATTTTTATTCAATCCTAATCGCAGCCAAAGATCGCAACGTTCGAATTCACAATTGAACTATATATATATTACAAGAACTTAACGCAGATTTCAGACGTTCGTCAAATCACTTCTTTTTTTTTAATTATTTATATACAATTTTTACACTATTTATTATTCTTTTCCCTCAACTTCGGTTCTTTTGATACGCTCCTTGGAACCGGTATTTTGAGCAGGCTTGTTGGTTTTCCATGTTCTATGTCTTCATTCCGCGATCCCACATCCAACACATCATTTTTATTTTGAACTTCTTTATGTCGTTTTTCATTCTTATTTCCTTTGGAAACATGTTGTACTGTACAACGCTCTGTACCAGCAAACTCCTGTTCTTTATGTTAGTTGTATTTCGTTCCATTCTTATATTTCTTCTAGTTCTTGTATTATGATCATGTGTGTCGCAGCCGAAAGACAGGCCTATCCGGGTCTTAATTGTTGTTTTTACAATTTTGTGTATAAGTATTTTCCAAATGAAACCAGCAAATCACAACAAATTCATTGTTTCAAAGAAAAAAGAAAAACACATTACAAATTCATCCGATCGCAATTGGTGCATTCAACAATAAACATTGCGCATATTCATTTCCCGTTGCAATTGATTTCATTAATTATACATGAAATAAATTGATTCATTCTTAATGTGAAACCCGTATTCATCATCATCACGCACTTAAACCATATAATTCTTGAATACAAGAATCGTAATGATTCCAATAAACAAAAAATCCAATAAAGATTACACTCAAGTAAACTGTAATTATTTCCAATGTAAATTATGGCAATTGAACACTTTACACGTTATAATAGCTTTGAAAACAGTACTTTGCATTGACGTACAAACGACACACGTTGTGTTTTTCTTCTTCTGTTTTTTTTTTCGCAGTCGATTCGATTATCAATAACATTTTTTTTTTATTTATAGCCTGTAGATACGTAAATGGAAAATTGAGTGGAAATGAACGTTGTAAGCAGTTCCGATCGATCTGGTTTAAAGGTGAATTGAAACTCATTATTATATACAGTGGAACATCGTTTAACGAGTTTAATCCGTACCAAAATTTCCAAATTTTTACTCGTGAAACATATTCAAAAATATGTTTACAAATGATGTAGCAATCCGGGACTACTCTTCTCATCGTCACTCGTTATGCGAGTCATTTTTCTTACAATTCATTTTGCTCGTTAAGCGAAATGCTCATACACTTATTTTGTATGCAGGAAGAATACAGTCCTATTAATAAATGGATCGCGTTTGCCGGAGAGGAGAGATTGATAGAACAAATGTGTCGCGTTCGGATGAATTGATGTTTGCCTTAAGTGATCGATGTGTATCGTTTTACAGACGTAATAGAATCAAAGTGTTTGTTTGCTGTCGTCTACCCAATATTCCGATCCGTAAATATGATGGCAAAAAAAACCTAATAATATTTTAATTGCATACAGTTTTTTTTTCCTTCTCTTCATTCAATTCGAGCTGAACGAGCTTAAGACTTGTTCGTCTTATTTGGTAGCCATATATAACTTTGCAGATTTTATTTGCAGAGCATTAAGTACTCGAGACGGCGGAGTGATTCACTTGGCCGAAGAGTTCTTTGTATTTTCGTTTCGAGCGATCGACAATTCCGCGAGCGTAAAAATGTTATATTAATGCAATATTTATGAGCCGAAGCTGAAAACTCGTGTATGCATACAGCATATAAATTTGTATTGATACCCTTATAAGATTTGCTTCCAAGCAATAGCACAGATGTACGCATTTACATAATAATAATTGCGATTATCTTCATCGAACGAGCGTCGCTTTCTAACAGTTTAAAAGCGAGATGATGTAAATCTCTTGTACAATTCTCTCTTGCTCAACCATCGCTTTTAGATGATTTGGTAATAACGAAATGAATTATTGCCAGAGGAGAAACTCTCGCTTTTTGCACGAAAATCCTGATTACACTTAATAATTTCTTCGTTTTTTTTTCCTTAACCAATCCACTTGTGTATCCTCACGGAACTGTTTACGACGTGCTATGTAAAACTCTCCAATTTATTTATAACTCGGAAACAGAAACGTTGAACGCACTTCGGCTTCGAAAATGCTGCAACGTTTACGCTTTCCGAAATTTCCTGAGCCACCGGGATGATGAATATTAGATTGTATTCAATTGCGCAACAGCTCTTCTCTACGTGTACAAACGTTATTCGAGGAGTGCACAGTTTCTAGGTACGCGGCGATAAATTAGATCTGCATTTATTTGCACGCCCAAGCGAATCGAGTAATTTAGCCCTCTGGATACGAGCAATTCCTGGATGTCGCGCGCGGCATGCTGAAATTGCAATTTTTTGTTTTGTTTGTTTCTTCGTATTTATGTTTCCAGGCAGTCCTCAGGCACTTTTCAATTAATTACAATATATATATATATTAGAATACTTTCTACACTATTGCGCTCAATAAGTTTTCAACTTTCATATGCATACGTTTTTTTTTTACAAAACAACATTTGTTAGCTTAACTTCATAGCAAAGTAAACAAGTTTTATACTATAGAATTTCCTTTAAACTTCATATTTACATTTGTTCATCAAAACTTCAAATTCCGAAGAAATAAGCTTAAAAAAATCCTAATTGTATTGACTTCAATATATGTACACTCGGTCCCCTTTTTATGCGGTTTTGAAGTTATGCGGTTTTTATTTTAAGAAGCATTTTTTTTTAAATAACTATTTTAGGTCATTTTGACACGTTTTGACAAAAATTGGCAAACCATTTCATCGAAAAAGATGATAATTCTGAACGAGCATTCAAGTTTCAACGCGAGTTTCAGAATTGCATTTCTGGATATCAGGAATTGTACAAAAAAATAGCAAAGCCATCGAAACATTTAATCACTGATTATATTGTCAAAGGGGAAAAAATGAACATGCGAAGTTAAGACTAATTTTACGTGTGAAGAATCATTATCTTCAGGACATAGATCTCATATGCTGACTATCTCTTCTAGTGATGAAAGTGATTAAGAACCAGTTCGCAAATTATGCTGAACACTCTCATATAACTCATATAATTCTAAAGAAAAAAAATGTGAAGAAAGATTAACTTTCATAAAAAATTTCTGCATTTTTTTTTTGTAAAATTTTTCTGTATAAATTTAGAAGGAATATGTTAAGATTATATTTTTCTGAAATTTAATAAACTTGTCTATGATTGTTAACGTTTTTATAAAATTATGAATAAACATTTTAGAAAGAATATAGTAAGACTAATCATTTTTCTGAAATTTAATAAACCCTTTTTATGCGATTTTCGGTATATTGTAACTCATTGATTTAGTTTTATGCGGTTTTGAAAAATTATGGAACGTATGCTTTAAATTTATACGTGTGTATAGTCTTTTTTCGTGCGATTTATTTTTATGCGTTTTCCTGTGGAACTTATCTACCGCATAAAAAGAGAACAAAGTGTATATACTGCATGAAACACAATTCTTTTCATACAGAATTTCTACATTTCATCCGACAAGTGGCTAATTATATTTTTATAACACAATAGAATTACGAGCGCTCCGAAAATTCGACGAAGCGAATAAATTCCATTATTATTGCTTTCAGACGAACATAAATTTGCAGTTTACAAAATAAAAATGAACAAAAATACAAACACTGATTTAAATTTAATTAACTCGTTTCTCCGAAACGCATGTCATTAAATCCGTCTATTGATTCGACAATGAAGGAGAAATGTATAATAATAATAATAATTAAAGTAACTGGAATGAAAAAGTGACATCTTTTGATGTTTTTTGTCAAAAAAAATTCTCTAACGTACTGATGTTGATAAGGGTCAGCCTTCAGAAATTCTAATATATAATTTAAGTGCGCGCTTCGGGGAGAGAAATACAGAAAGAAAAAAGCGTAGACATCTTCTTGCGACTTTAATAAAGCTACTTCCTGCGAATTTGGGTAAGGGTTTGAAGGACTTGTATAAAAAAACAAACAAACCAACATTTGAATAAACAATGCTTTAAGATTGAATTATTTTAGTACTCGATCTCAAAAATTTGAATAAGAAATGTGTATGGATATAATTTGTTATGAATAATGTACAGTTATGATTATGTAGGATTGAAGAAGTTATAAAACAACATTTGTTAGCATAACTTCATAGCAAAGTAAACAAGTTTTATACTATAGAATTTCATTTAAACTTCATATTTACATTTGTTCATCAAAACTTCAAATTGTTCAATTTCAATGTGATCTATCTGAAGTAGTTTCGAAGAAATAAGCTAAAAAAAAATCCTAATTGTATTGACTTCAATATATGTATATACTGCATGAAACACAATTCTTTTCATACAGAATTTGTACATTTCATCCGACAAGTGGCTAATTATATTTTTATAACACAATAGAATTACGAGCGCTCCGAAAATTCAATCAATCTCAAAATTTGAATAAGAAATGTGTATGGATAGAATTTGTTATGAATAATGTACAGTTATGATTATGTAGGATCGAAGAAGTTACAAAACAACATTTGTTAGCATAACTTCATAGCAAAGTAAACAAGTTTTATACTATAGAATTTCATTTAAACTTCATATTTACATTTGTTCATCAAAACTTCAAATTTTTCAATTTCCATGTGATCTATCTGAAGTAGTTTCGAAGAAATAAGCTTAAAAAGAATCCTAATTGTATTGACTTCAATATATGTATATACAGCATTTCTACATTTCATCCGACAAGTGGCTAATTATATTTTTATAACACAATAGAATTACGAGCGCTCCGAAAATTCGACGAAGCGAATAAATTCCATTATTATTGCTTTCAGACAAACATAAATTTGCAGTTTACAAAATAGAAATGAACAAAAATACAAACACTGATTTAAATTTAATTAACTCGTTTCTCCGAAACGCAGGTCATTAAATCCGTCTATTGATTCGACAATGAAGGAGAAATGTATAATAATAATAATTAAAGTAACTGGAATGAAAAAGTGACATCTTTTGATGTTTTTTGTCATTTTTTTTTCTCTAACGTACTGATGTTGATAAGGGTCAGCCTTCATAAATTCTAATATATAATTTAAGTGCGCGCTTCGGGGAGAGAAATACAAGAAAAAAAAAGCGTAGACATCTTCTTGCGACGTTAATAAAGCTTCTTTCTGCGAAATTGGGTAAGGGTTTGAAGGACTTGTATAAAAAAGCAAACAAACCAACATTTGAATAAACAATGCTTTAAGATTGAATTATTTTAGTACTCGATCTCAAAAATTTGAATAAGAAATGTGTATGGATAGAATTTGTTATGAATAATGTACAGTTATGATTATGTAGGATTGAAGAAGTTATAAAACAACATTTGATAGCATAACTTCATAGCAAAGTAAACAAGTTTTATACTATAGAATTTCCCTTAAACTTCATATTTACATTTGTTCATCAAAACTTCAATTTTTTCAATTTCAATGTGATCTATCTGAAATAGTTTCGAAGAAATAAGCTTAAAAAAATCCTAATTGTATTGACTTCAATATATGTATATACTGCATGAAACACAATTCTTTTCATACAGAATTTCTACATTTCATCCGACAAGTGGCTAATTATATTTTTATAACACAATAGAATTACGAGCGCTCCGAAAATTCAATCAATCTCAAAATTTGAATAATAAATATGTATGGATAGAATTTGTTATGAATAATGTACAGTTATGATTATGTAGGATTGAAGAAGTTATAAAACAACATTTGTTAGCATAACTTCATAGCAAAGTAAACAAGTTTTATACTATAGAATTTCCCTTAAACTTCATATTTACATTTGTTCATTAAAACTTCAAATTCCATAGTTTAAATTGTTCAATTTCAATGTGATCTATCTGAAATAGTTTCGAAGAAATAAGCTTAAAAAAATCCTAATTGTATTGACTTCAATATATGTATATACTGCACGAAACACAATTCTTTTCATACAGAATTTCTACATTTCATCCGACAAGTGGCTAATTATATTTTTATAACACAATAGAATTACGAGCGCTCCGAAAATTCGACGAAGCGAATAAATTCCATTATTATTGCTTTCAGACGAACATAAATTTGCAGTTTACAAAATAAAAATGAACAAAAATACAAACACTGATTTAAATTTAATTAACTCGTTTCTCCAAAACGCATGTCATTAAGTCGTCCGTCTATTGATTCGACAATGAAGGAGAAATGTATATTAATAATAATGAAGGGAGTAACGAAAATAACTGGAATGAAAAAGTGACATCTTTTGATGTTTTATCAATTTTTTTCTCTAACGTACTGATGTTGATAAGGGTCAGCCTTCAGAAATTCTAATATATAATTTAAGTGCGCGCTTCGGGGAGAGAAATACAGAAAAAAAAAGCGTAGACATCTTCTTGCGACTTTCTGCGAAATTGGGTAAGGGTTTGAAGGACTTGTATAAAAAAACAAACAAACCAACATTTGAATAAACAATGCTTTAAGATTGAATTATTTTAGTACTCGATCTCAAAAATTTGAATAATAAATGTGTATGGATAGAATTTGTTATGAATAATGTACAGTTATGATTATGTATGATTGAAGGAGTTAAGTGCAAAAGTAATGTTTATCGGATTTATGTTAAGTGCAAATGTAATGCACCCACATATTAGATTGGGTCACTTAACACGTCCTGGAGACTAATTTAATAATGAAGCAAAATGAAAAAGAAATGCACGTAAACTGCGCTCACTGGGTTATGGAATGTTTCCGAATCGATACGGCTCTCTCTATATATACACACACATCCAGAGTGTCGTGCGTAATAAAATAACTATATATTTCAATAAGGCTTAGGAAGAAGGAAAAAAAACAACAAAACAGCAAGAAGTAAATGAGACTGGTGGACGTGTTGTTGTCGAGTGAAAGAAGGAAGGAGAGAAATTCATTACTTTGGTTGTAGCGGAGGAGGCGGCGGCTTCAGCAGCAGCAGCAACAACAACAACAATAAAAATACACGACCGAGCGTAATTCCATTCCAACGGTGTTGTCTATTTATAATTTAGCAAATTAGACCGTTCTCAAGGATTTTCCTTGAATGCGAAATTGGCTTACGCTAAGGAGCGTGTATTAATAAATCATGGGATTGATATGTACGGTGATAATGGCGGAAAATGTGACCTATTTGCGTGGACTGCACCGCCTGCAATTGACCCAATTTCCAGTGCCACCCTATTTTTTTTTCCTACAACCCCCCCAAACCTAAATTGCATGCTCCGCGCAACCACGGATAACAAATAGGACTAGGCGGCAGGAAGAAGCAGGATTTTGGCATTAGATTCTCTCCATTCCATTGTTGATCTCGACTCGCTCAAGGCGTCGCAACTCACAGCCTTGGATGAGGAGCAAAAGCAGATCGTGCAGACAACAAACAACACGACGACGACACAGCTGTTGTTCCTTCGCAAAAGATCACACGATTTCCATTTAGTTCGTAACGCATTAACGGAGGAAATTGTGACTGCACAACCGCAAATTAGGATGATTGCTTCAATGATAGATTCCACTGACTAACCAGATTTTCCCCAAACGCATCATCATCATCTCATGGTTTTACTCTCATTTACCTAGAAACTCTCAATTCGAAGACAAATCTAATTATTTCGATTAGGATGATTTCCAGAATTCATTACTAACTAGATTTTCCCAAAAATCATCTACCTGGAAACACTCAAGAAGCAATTACAAAAGCACACAAACAAAAAAAAACCAACTGCTTTAAACTCAATAAACACATCGTCGTTGTTCATTGTTATCGATTTGCCTAAAGTTCAAGGTTAAGCAACCATTCTACTACGTAACGATTGTTAGGAAATAGGATGATTGGAAAAGTTTTAATCAACAAGCGCGATGCTAAGCTCTCAGTTAATTAAATCACACAATTATTATATAAATAAAGAAAAATCTATACTTGCATTTCGTTTATATGTTTTATAAATATTTTTGTGTTATGCACGCCTGAAAAATATTTGTGTATGTCTGTCAGGTCCCTGGTATAATATGAAGCTAAAAATAAAAGAAAAACAAGAAATAGAATCACGAAAATCAGTAACGCAATTTTAAGAATATATTAAGAAAAAAATGCAATTAGTAAACTAATCTGTTTTAAATTACAAATATTATTTACTATAAAATAAATAAATACAGTGGTAGATACGTTCCACAGGAAGACGCATAAAAATAAATCGCACAAAAATGGACTAGACACACGTATAAAAATAAAGAATACGTTTCATAATTTTTTAAAACCGCATAAAACTAAATCAATGAGTTACAATATACCGAAAATCGCATCAAAAAGGGTTTATTAAATTTCAGAACAATAATTAGTCTTACTATATTCTTTCTGAAATGTTTATTCATAATTTTATGAAAACGTTAACAATCATAGACAAGTTTATTAAATTTCAGAAAAATATAATCTTAACATATTCTTTTTAAATTTATACGGAAAAATTTTACAAAAAGAAATACAGAAAATTTTTATGAAAGTTAATCTTTCTTCACATTTTTTTCTTTAGAATTATATGAGTTATATGAGAGTGTTCGGCATAATTTGTGAACTGGTTCGAAATGACTTTCATCACTAGAAGGGATAGTCACCATATCAGATCTATGTCCTGAAGATAATGATTCTTCACAAGTAAAATTAGTTTCAACTTCGCATGTTGATTTTTTCCCTTTGATTTAAACTTTGAGATGGATTTGCTATTTTTTTGGACAATTCCTGATATCCAGAAATGCAATTCTGAAGCTCGCGTTGAAACTTGAATGCTCGTTCAGAATTATCATCTTTTTCGATGAAATGGTTTGCCAATTTGTTTCAAAACGTGTCAAAATGACCTAAAATAGTTGTTAAAAAAAATGCTTCTTGAAATAAAAAGAGGACCTAGTGTATATGTATTATTGAATTACCCATTAAAGTATTGTCCTTCGACACGCATTGCTTAACTTTTGTAAAATGAAAAGTAAAGAGGGGTGACATTTTCTGATAATGCACTCAAATTGGATTATCAATTCAAACATCTTGCTTCGTGACTGTTATTGAATTTCCATAACAACCAGTGTTATAAACAATTATGCAACTGCAGTATTTTCCTTTGTTTCACGTTATTAAACGATGATTTGATATGCAGCCTTCGCTGTAGTGGTTAAATGATGTAAGCGAAATGAAAAAAAAAAAAGAGGAAATAGCGATATATTATCCAAGTGCGTGCGTTCCTCTTTAAAGAAGATTAATGAATAATAGATGATTGGTATATTTTTTTTGTTGTTGTTGTTAAAACCCTCTTTTCCTACGGTACTTTAATACGATATTACTGGATAGGTCGTATTATTTCGAGCAACCACACACATTTTCTACCGTATAAATATTTAATTTTTTTCGGAACAAATGACGGTTACCTGGAAGCAGGTAACGAAGGTGTAATCGATATATGGATTTTTCAATTACCTTCATTTCCATTTCGATGCATCACAAATTTGAATTCGATGCAACAGAACGAAATTTTTATTTTCTTTTAAATATTCGAGTAACGAGTTTCATTAAATTGTTGGATTTAAGTTGTATGAAACGGAGGATTTACGGACAAAAGGGAGAAGTTAATGAAATTTAGGATAACTTTCCGAATTGAATGTAGAAGGAATTTGAATGCGAGGATTAGCGGTTAAGTCGGAGCTCGGTCCGAACATTTACAAAAATAATAATCAGTGTAACAAACGCTCTGCAAATTGCAATAATTGATAGGCGATCAGATGTGAAGTGCTCGGTATTAATGCAGTATCGAGTGAGGCAGGTCATGCCAAAGGTCAACTATTTTAACAGCTGCTTATTCCCAAGGTAATGTTTCTCTCGTCGCGGCGAAATTATTCAGAAGGAAGTCGATTTAATTGCCGCTTGTTACATCAATAAAGAAAAGCACCAGTTCACAGCGCGCACGTAAATCGAACGAAATGTGTGTAAATACTAAAAGAAAATATATGGTTAAAGCAAGGTCATTGAGATTAATTAGCGACACTCGTTTACATTGTTAATTTCAATTGAGTTTTAAAGATTGAATAAGAGTCTAGACAAATGCAAAAGCGAAAATTGATCTGGTCCGAAATCATTTGACCTGCTCAATTGGAGATGACGACTTGTTGTAGATGTACTCGAAACAAGTACATATTAGCTGCAGCTGTTGATATTTGGGTAACCTTTCCCTTTGTTGCTATACCGTTCGTTAAGGCCGTGGACCTTAGTTTCGTACAATGAACCACGCAGCTCAACGGTTCAACGTTTGACATTGATATGTTTATCCATGAACTTGGTCCGATTAAGGCAACAAGGAATAAATAATAAATGAATTGTAAAAAAAGAACAGAAGATACAATGAAAACAACGCGAATAATTAAACGATAAGTGGATTCGCGCTCGGCCTCGACGTACACCATGCGGTTCGTTCGTTCGTTTATGGGAGAACAGTGAAAGTGCAACGAGACGACATTTCATTCTCGCCAATTTGTTGCTGCGAATGGAAATAGAACGGCTATCACATCGAGAGCCGCGATTGTTGCGCAAACGGAAAACGCGAATTCATTCATTCGTTCGAGGCGTCGTCGAGATGAGGAGGAAAAACCGAAAGGAAAACTTTCGAGAATCCCGAATTCCTCTTACATGTTTTTGCTATACGATTTTGTTTCTATTCTCTCCATCTTTCTGTATACTTCTTTTTTTGTTTCGAGATTCCGCCAAAATGTTTTCAAGTTTTGAAAATTGTACCGCAAAAAAAATCTTTTTAATTCTACAAAATATTAATGTTTATGGAGTTTTTGGTCGCTCAATAATTAATTTGTCTCTTATATTTTTCAAGATATAAGCATAATTGTAAAGACACTGCCTTTTCAAATCTTACAAAAACGTTTCTTCAAGTTTAACACTGAATTATGGCTAAATGACAAACGATACAACAAAGCTTCAATTTGATTGTTCAACAATAAATTTGTCGCAGATACTTTTTGAAATAAAAGTATAAATGTGAAGACACTGCTTTTAGGATGTTTAAAATAAAGTTTCTTAAAGTTTTAGAGTGAATTATGGCTAAATGACATTTTAATTCCACAAAATATTAATGATTATGAAGTGAATATTTAGGTTCTATTTGGTTGCTCAATAATAAATTTGTCTCTTATATTTTTCAAGATATAAGCATAATTGTAAAGACACTGCCTTTTCGAATCTTACAAAAACGTTTCTTCAAGTTTAACACTGAATTATGGCTAAATGACAAACGATACAACAATACCAAAGCTTCAATTTGATTGTTCAACAATGAATTTGTCGCAGATACTTTTTGAAATAAAAGTATAAATGTGAAGACACTGCTTTTACGATGTTTAAAATAAAGTTTCTTAAAGTTTGAGAGTGAATTATGGCTAAATGACATTTTAATCACAAAATATTGGAGATGATTTGAAAGAGTGAATATTTAGCTTTAATTCTTTAAAAAAATATATTCAATTTTGTTTTTATATAAAGTGGATAAACAATGGTTACAAAAGTTAATCTGTTTTAAGTAAAACCTTCTAAGAAATACTATTATTAGAAACAGAAAATAACGTATTAGAAAACCTTACTCGAATCTTGCAAGTAAACTGCTTCAAGAGCAATATAAATGTAAATGAAGTTAATCACACAACTTACGAAATAATCGTTAACATTTCAATATACGTCTTCGGCTAAACAACAAGAATATTTATTCGCTGCACGTGTACTGAAATCATTATAAAACGTACACAATATGCGTCATTTAAACTAAATTGAAATAAAAACGACAATTTGCATTTTTTGCACGAAAACACTTGTTTTCAGTTTCAGTCTGTGCACAAAGGGAACTCGATTTGATCATGCAATAAAATCAATTAATCGAAATGGCTGTAAAACAAAATAGAATCACGCAAAAGCTATCTTCTTTTACGACGAAACGCACTTGATTAATTTTCACAATAACAAATTTAAAACAAAAAAAAAACATTGACAAATCGATAAAAATAACAAACAAAACGTTTAAAAGAATAGTGATAAAATAGAAACGCAATAGAATTATCACTTCCTGATTAATGAAGTAACAAAATTAAACAAACTAAATTGATGATTATAATATTTGCAGTTGTTAGAATCATTATAAACACAAGAATCAAAAGCAATTCAGTTTCAGTCTGTACACAAAGGGAACTCGATTTGATCATGCAATAAAATCAATTAATCGAAATGGCTGTAAAACAAAATAGAATCACGCAAAAGCTTTCTTCTTTTACGACGAAAC